CTGGTATAGGGCGAGGCATAAAGGTCCAATTTGAATTTAAGTATTTTTACTGTCTCAACCAAATTAACTACATCACAAGATATATCAAAGTAAAAGTAGAAAGGGTTAAAAGTGTTTTTTACTATTTTTCTAAAATTTGTTATCTGTCCATTTTCACCTCATAAGCGGTTTTCCAGGTCAACTGTCTTATTTTGAATTTTGAAGAGATTTCACAAACTAATAGCTAAAAGATTCAACCAATACAAAATATAGATTTAATGAGCCTAGTTTTTATAGTATATATCCTTGATCTGGTAATTTGTCAGAAAAAATCATCAGCAGAGTTGGAAAAAATATGTATAAAAAAATTAAAAAAACTAGTGGGGCCAAAAATTACCAAAAATTTTTTTTTTCTGTAAAGATTAACATTTTTGAAAAAATAAATATATTTTTTTATATAAATATATTTATATAAAAATAAATAAGATTTTTGGGATACTACAATTTTTTGACAAAAATTTACTTTTTTTTGAAAAAAAAAATATTTTTTTTGTAGAAAAATTTATTTTGAAATATTTTGGAAATTTAGAACATTTTTTCAAAGCAATCGTACTGCTTTAACTGCATAGAGACGAAATATCGAAGCGCGTAAGCGCCGCGTCGCCGTCTAACGGATAAACATTGGTACGGAACCCATAGGAATGTAATCAAAATTTATGCTTATTGTTAAAATCTCTATAAAGTATCTGATATTTTGATGTGCATATGTCTAATCATTTTTGACCGCCAAATGGCTTTTTTTTTACTTGCACATGTAATCTGTAGAAGTTATATAAAATCGTCAGTTGAATCTAACTTAAAATTACCGTTAATTAATTACAATTAAAAACCCTTTACTTATAAATTTTATTAAGGTCTCGTAAACTACATAATAGTACTCACAACCAAAAACACTAGAAACAAATGAAAATAATTTTGTTATATATTATATTATGTTATAGATTTTAAAAGTAGCCGCTTATCTCCTATTAGCGACGTTACTTTATCTAAGGTGATGGGTGATTACATATCTGTTTCCCTCTACTTTCAAATATTATTGTTCAAAAAGTCTGAAGTTCACTTGTTTTTTATCTATTGCTGGTGGATCTTTTGAATCAGAATAGTAAAATCACTTATTAAAGTGATTCTCTAAATATCAATGTAATATTTATCAGATAAATTTATATGTGTGTATGTGTGCAAATGACATAAGCCAAATAGCTATAGGATTGTCATGTATTCTGATTGCTATTGAAATTAAAATTAAAAAAAAAAAAATTTAGCCAATAAAATTTAAGCTTCGCTCTATCTTACTAAGTTTTTAACAATTTATTTATAGAAACTCGGATAAAATCGCTGTACTATAAATAATTTCAGAATATATCTTTTTATTCATCCAGAGCGTCTTTTAATATTATAGAACGTTATTAGTTACATTTACTATGACGTGACTTTCATTTTAAGTTCGAAACTTGATATAGTTTTAGCAAAAGGTCACATTTTGACCTCTAATTACTTCTATTCTTGGCTGTTGCGGTTTCTGAATTGAGTTAGATTTGCCTGCAGCCAAAATGACCTGAAACTTCGGAATATTGCTCGACTTGTTGAATTTCCACACGCGTTCTGGAGGAGTAAAACAGGGATATCCAAGGGAAAAATATAGATACATTTCGAAAAATCGAAAAACCTATTATAAAATATATACAAATGGAATTGGTTTGATTTTTCGGTTGTTTGGGTTATTTTATGTTTTTGAAAAAAAGCGAAAACTTTTGGCGTTTGAACAGCCAAATTTCTGGCTTTTGAAGAACCAAACCGAAACCCACATTTGGTGGCATAATGATTCTATTAAAATTTAAAAGAAATTTATAAATTCTTTCTGACTCATTATATTATTATATTATTACTATTATATTTTATAAAATTATATTTATTTTATACCATTTTAAATAGTTTGAATATCTCGAATTATGAATATTTTAATATAGATAAAATTAATTAACTAAAGTTACATAAAGTAGGTATATTATCAATAAATGAAATAATCAAAAATTAAGTAAGTGGTATTTTAATAAACTTTTGAACTTTTGACAAATTAAATGGTTTTAATAATATAAGATAATGCTTAAATTCATAAAAGCAAATTTTGGAAGAATAAAGTTTGCTAGTATATTTGTCAATTTTAAATCACAAAATAAACGGTTGAATTATATAAGAAAATGATTAAATTTATACAACAAATATTGAAAGAATGAGGTTTGCTAAAGCATCAAATTGAATGATAATTTATATAAAGTAATAATTAAATTAATGTTAAAAATTACTGAAAAAGTAAAGTTTGTTGAAGCATAATTTTCAATGTTAAATCTCAAAATCTATTAGTTAAATTATATAAGAAATTGGTTAGATCAATATAAGCTAATATTGAATGAATGATGTTTGTTAAAGCATAAATTTTTTTTTTAGTAAGATAATAACTCGCTAAATGAAAAGATTCTATTATAAGAATAATATACAAGTACGTAGAAATAAAAAGCAGAAATGTAGAAAAGCAGCATTACATGACTCAATACATGATCATTAGTAAGAAACATTTGTATGCTATTTAATTATATAAAATAATTCTATATATGATAGAAAAATTCCTGTAAAAATAATATACTACAAGATAAATTATTATCTATTTTTTTTAAATAAAATAGCTTAAAGATTTACACAAAATTTCTGTAAAGCTATGAAACTTAACACGTTTAATTATTATTTCATTATTTGTTTAAAAAATTTAGCTACAAAATTCATACACATAAAATGAACACAATTAATTATTATGTTACATAAGCGAAAAAATGAGTACTGATATTAGGTAACTATTTTTTATATATTTTTTCAAACATAATATACCACAATAAAAAAAATTACACAAATCTTAAAAGATTTTAATAAAAAAATTCACAAATCTTAAAAGTTTCTAATAAAACAAACTTTCATAATAAAATATATCAATTAGCTAATAACTTTGTTTTGCCATTTAAAAAGGATCGAACCCTGATTAAAGGCAATTTGTCGTGAAATCAGATTTCCCATGAAAATCTACATCGAAAATATATATAGAATTCAAAATTTGGCTTTTTGTGCAAAGAAGTAGATAAAAATTAGTTGTACAAAAATAAAAAGACTAAATAATATTGTACTTCCCGGCTAAATTCTCTTGTGAGAAAAACCAAATATTTTTCGTTTATATCTATTTTGTTTTTGGGCACCTTTGCATATGGATATGCCGCAAACCTCATTTGTCAATACTGGCAAAGTATCGGCCAAGTCGTCTCACCCTCCTCCTTGGCGGAGTTATTGAATGAGACTTCTATATTGACCCACTTACCGAAGAAATATACAATGGGGGCAATAAAACGACTTGTTATTAATACTCCGAGACCTTTGTGCTTTCAAATATATTGCATTTTGTGTTTATTTACTGACCAATTTGCGGCACAATTAAAACGAGATATGATGAATGTTCTTGAGTTAAAAATACATCGAGAGGGATGATTTTGTGAGATGTATTTTTAGCGGACTAATTCTTATATGAGTTATTTAAATGAACACAAGGTGAAAAGATTTGTAGTAAATCATTTTGTTTCGATATCTTGTTTGATTATATTTGCTAATTCATACAAACAATTTAGGAAAAAGCAAAATAATAACACATAAAATATATGTACTGACATTTTTATGAAATAAAATTTAAAACTTAAAACTGACAGCTATATTGAGTTATGAATGCATAACGATAATATTATATATTTTTAATTCTAATTATTATTATTATTATTAGTGCTTTGTTTGTAAGAATATTTAAAAATTTATTATTTAACACAACTTATCAAATAACAGCCTTTTTTATTGTATGCTTTTTACTTCTCAAACTTTTGCTTCTATACTAATTTTCTGGGCTTTCTCGTTTCGATCAAGTCGTTTACATCTGCACTTTTCTATAAGTATCTTCTAATTTTTTGCCAATGACGTCGTACAGAAGACAGATAACCCAGGTTATCCCAATGTGAGTTCAATCCAGTTTAATTTTCTATACAGCTTTTTTCACCTGTAACCTTGTATGTCTATTTTATCTTCTCCAACTCGAAACTATTCAGGTGAATCCCATCATGTCCATGTCTCTGTATCCTGTATAGTTTTGAACTAATTTTTCTCGACGTCTGATAAAGATAACCTTTCTTCATTCCTAGCAGTATCTTTTCTTTAAGATTTATTACGACATTAAATGTTAAGTTGAAATTTCTGCCAGAAGAAAAATACGATTATGTAAATCTGAAATTAAATTTGTTGTTGCCATCTGTGCTCTCCATTTACCATTTCGAAACTCTCCAGGTGATTCTTTTCACTATTCCTTTAATTCCTTAAAGTCCACGTTTCTGAATGTTATAGAGTCTTCACTATGGTTTTTCTTGACTCCTGGCATAATCTTCTCATTCAGATTTATTAAGGCATTAAGTGCTAAGTTGAAATTGCTGCCATAGGCAAAATACGAAAATCTAAACTTTAAAATTTTTCTTGTCGCTATATATTGTATTTTCTATGCACCATCTTGAAACTGTCCAGGTGATTTACAGTCACCACTCCTTAGAGTTCACGTCTCCTATTCCTACAGAGTCTTCAGTTTCGTCTTCCTGGTTAAATATTCTCTTTCAGATTTATTATGACATTAGGTGTTAAGATGAAATTGTTGTTATAGGCAAAATATGAATATGCAAACTCTAAAATTTACTTTGTCGGTCCATTTTGCCTCAATCTCAAAACTGTCCACGTGATTGCAGTCATCACTCCTCAGAGTCTTCGTTTTCATCGACTTCATTTGTCTTCTGGTAAAATATTCTCTTTGATACAAGAAGTCTTAAAATCAAACTGCTCTTATAGGAAAGTTATGAATATGTAAGCTCTGAAATTGTACACTAATTACCATTTGTAACCTTGTTGGTCTATTTTGTCTTTTTTGTTCACCATTTCGAAACTGTCCAGGAGACTCTTTTCTCCATTTTTTAGGGTCCAGGTCTTCAAATTCTAGAGAGTTGCCAGGATTGTCTTTCTTGGATTTTAGCAAAATCTTCTCATTCAGATTCTCATAGGAAAAATACGAATATGCAAACTCTGAAGTATGTTCACTATTTACCATAAGTAACTTGTTGGTCTATTTTGCTTTTCTTTATTCACAATCTCAAAACTGCCCAGGAGACTTGTGTCACCAGAGAGATGCCAGTATCGGCTTACTCGGATTTTGAAAAAATCTTCTCATTCAGATTCTCATAAGAAAACTACGAATATGCAATATTTACCATATGTAACCTGTTGGTCTATTTTGTCTTTTCTATTCATCATTTCGAGACTGTCCTGGAGACTTTTGTCACCATTTCTTAGAGTCCACGTCTCCGAATCCTAGGAGTTTTTCGTATCGTTTTCTTGTATTTTGGCAAAATCTTATCATTAACTGAATTTTTGATGATTTGATTGACAGATTTGCTACGACAGAAAAAGTGCTCTCGTCGGAAAAATACAGATATGCAAACTGCAAAATGTGTCCACTTTTTAGGGGGCGTCCAATAATCACGTGAGGCTTTCAGGGGAAAGAGGGATTTGACAAAAAGTCACGGAAAGGGATCGTTTAAGTATTACGTGAGCAGATTTATTACAATTATTTACCCTCCCCCCATCCCCCTTGTCAGCAAAAGTAAGCAAAGCTCTTACCTCCTACCCCCATGCTTAAGTAAATATTTTGCAATTAATGTAAAAAAATAAAAATACTACCTATGACGTAATCATCATCCAGACTTTCCTGCCCTCCATGTCAACCCAAAATAAGCAAATCAACAACCCCCCGCCCCCCTATAGTGCTTACGTAATACTTGTCGGCCATAAAATCACGTGGGGTAAGGAGGGGCATAGTAAGATGTCACGTGTATTTATTTTTTGACTGATTTTTTTATAAAAAATTCAAACATTTTCTAAAAAATTAAAATAATATACTGTGTTATCACGTAACTAAAAATGCACATGATGTTTCGTGGGGGAGGGGGGTAATTTTGAATATTACCATGTATCACCAAGGGAGAGGGGGGGGGTCTAAAAATCTTTAAAAACTCGCTCACGTGATTAATGGACGCCCCCTATCATTTATTACCATGCCGTCAATCCATTTTTTTTGTTTAGGTGATTCTTGTCATCCTGTCTTCAATCTCATCTTTCCTGACTTCTACTAAAATCTTCTCATTCAGATTTATTACGACAAGAAGTGTTAAGTTGAAATTGCTCTCATGGAATAATTACGAATGTGCAAACTCGAACATGTGGACCAGAGAGCGCGTCCCACAAAGGGAACCGAGTGATTAATAGGTTTAGAGTTGAAACTCGAAAATGGATACTCTAATTATTGTTGTCCATGTTAGTGACGTCTTGGTAAATGAACCATGGTGGTAAATTGAAAAAATACATGATGTAGCACATTATTTGGAATTAAAAGTTAATAGTAATACAAATAGAATGCGAACGTTTTAATTTATTTTTTTGACCATTTTTGTATCACATTTCTAGTTTTAATTCATAATAAACTTTTATGTTTTTTCTATTTTCTTTGGTTTTTCTCTGTTTTTTTTCGAAAAAAAAACTATTTTCGATTCAGTTGCCAAAAACAAATTGTTACAATAAAAATTATTATATTGATTTAAAAATTTTAGGATTTTTAATTGTTTGTATTTGGGTATAAATTTGTTTCTAGATTTCTAAATTGTTGTCGCCCTGAATTTTAATATATAGTTTATTATTACAAAAATTAGTAATTAAATTAATTTATGCTATTGGCAAATCAATAAAGAATGCAATTATGCAGTGATGAAATCTAATAAATTTAGAAATTCTGTAGATTATTCATAGAAATAACTTACATCATGCACATTTTAGCATAAAATATTATTGTGTTCTAAAATATTATTTAAATTTAATTATATCCACGAGTAATGATTGAAGTTAATTACATCTATAAAAATTAATTTTAAAAATCAATAAATTATTTTATATCTACCTCATATATTTAACAGTTAACAATTAATATTTAACAGTTTCAAAAGTTGTATTTAAAACTTTATTTTTAATGAAATATAGTGGAATTTTATAATTTTTTTTCCAAGTATTTGTTAACAATAGTTTTATCAATTTAGTTGCACATTCGTTTTTAAGTTAAAAAAACGTAAATTATTAGTCCTCAATTATACTAGTAGGTGAAGTTTTAGTAGTCAAATTTTGTTAGCTAAGGTAAGTTATAGTAATGGGCCGAATATCAAAAATGAAAAGTTTGCATTTATAGACGTTTTGAAGGTTTCTGAACATTTTGGCATACTTCAAAGAAAATGAATGTGTGTGTGTGTGTTTTGTATGTCCACATTTTTCCTTCCATGTTTTCGGGCGCATGGATCAAACGATTGGAATGGTTCAAAAAACATTCGATTCCTATTGATAGGGAGATGTGCTGATTAGTGTTTGGCTAAGGCAGGTCCAGCAGTTACGGACATACGGAGCAAAGAGTGCAGAAAATACAAATTGAGTTTTTGGGAGAACGAAGTACCCAATTTGAATGATCTAAAAAACATTCATGATGATGACGTAATGATTGGGAGAAAAGACTATTAGTTTTTAGCAAAGGCAGGTCCAGCCATTTCGAAGATACAGAGTTAAATGTGCAAAAAATGGCAGTTATGAGAGAACTAAGCGTCCGATTTGAATAATTCAAAAAACTTGTTGCTTGTTTCAACAAAATAATTGCTTTTGGAAAAAAAAGTTTCTAAATTTTTTCAATTTTTTTTTTACAATTCTTACACATTTCGGGAATTTTATGCAACTTGCCTTAAGGTTAAATGACTTTTTCGACTTGTTCTAAAATATTATTAAAATATAATTTTACTTACGTCAAAATAATAATTGAAAAGAATCACGTTAATTTCATCTATAGAAATGAGTTTCTGTAATCAATAAATTAACTTATATTTATGACTCATATTTAAAAGTTAACAGAATTTGTAAAGTGGTATTTGAAACGTTGTTTTTAATAAAACACGGTGAAAATTTGCATTTTTTTTAAATAAATTGTTAACAAGAGTTTTATGAAATTAGTTGCTTATTCATTGTTAAGTTAGAAAAACGTAGATTATTAGTCATCAATTTTACTAATAAAATCTTGTTTTCCATTATTATTAATTTAGCAATGAAGTTACTCTACTGATATAAAATTAAAATTTGTATTAAAGTTAGTGATGTCCATTTTACCTTTGCTTTGTTATGAATATTTAAGTTCTTCTCAAGAAATAGTTCTATCTATTTAGATTTTCTAATCACCACTAACCGTAAAATAAAAAAACTTTTTTATAGTTTTGTATGAGATAGTTTTTTGGAATAATAGCATGTTTGTTATTTCTTGTAAAAAATATATTCCTTTGAAAAAAAAATATACTTCAAAAACATATTTTATATTCTCTCTGCGTATCTAGGATTGCGTATGTGATTCTTATTCTCCAATATCCAATTTGACGTCGGATTATCCAGTTGAATTCTAACAGGAATATATATATATATACATATATATATATATAATAGTTTACCGACTTCGTATTTATTTTAACTACCCCACACATCAAAGGACAAAAGCGGTCACGAAAATAAACAAACCCCTTAATTCTTGAATTAATCTTTGACCTAAAATTTAATTAATCAGTAAGAATGCAAAGGTTATCAAAACAGTAAGTGTATGTCAAAAATAACAATGTCTTAAATAATATTCGATCAAGATAATTACTAAACTAGGAAATATGATCTAAATTTAACTATTGAATGAAACATGGAGATTTGTGTTTGGAATAATTTTACGCTTTTCCGACGTTTCGGGCCAATCTGAAACTTTTGCCATGAATTTTGAAAATAAATTATATTTAAAATTTATTTTATTAAATTCAAAATGACTTAGTTCAATTCACATGATCCGTTTTTTATAATAATCATTCGAATGAAAAATTGATCGATGTTTTCACAAATATTCAGAAACAATTTTGCAAAATTGAAGGACCAATTGAATTAATGTTGATTTTGCATTGTTCATAATAAATTGTTCATAAATAAATCTTTCTTATTCAAAAATTATTTCTGTTAATCCCACCTAAAGGAAAATTTTCATTTACACCTTGTTTATGTTATTATCTTCAATAGCGTTTGATTAAAGGATTTAGTTTGAATAACTAATTAAAGAATTTCACATATTTTTTGCAAGAGATATGAAATTAAAGTGTAATTAGTAACAGAGCATCTGCAAACTTATTAAGGAAGTTACAAACTATAAATTATGAAATAAAAATTATAAAAGTTACTACGAAAACCGTAGAAAAGTGTAAGAAAGTTCGGTGGAATAAACTTTTTGATTAAAGGTCGTGAATTAGCTTTGATTAATTTTAATTTTATAAATTAGGTTTAGGTGAAAAATTGTATTCTGTATTTTCCCACCAAGATACAAATTATAAAATCCCTATATATATATAATATATATAACATAATTTCCATATTTTCTTTGAAGAAAATCCATTGCTTGCTTCCACTTTAAATTATAGTGTACTCTATTTTATTAAAATGGAAGACTATACAAGATTTATTAAGATGCGTCTTAGAAAAATGATATCTTTTACTTGAAAATGGATTAAGTTCATGGTCGAACAAAAATTATTCAAAGAGAATAGAAATTCTCATTTATAAATCTCTCAATATAATTATTCTTTTTGAGTAAATAATTAAAATTAAGTTTTACAGAAGCATTGTAGTAGTGTCTTATTGTTTTCAATATAAATATCAATCAACAAAAATTGGATACACAAAACAAAAATAATAATAAAACATGCCAGTACTAAAGTGAAGAGCTAAATTTTTGATTTACGATTTCTTAAACATGTTAGTTGAATAATTAATGTTTACCAGAAAATTGTTCTAATCTGAAAATTAAGGTAACAGCTGTTTATATGGGGATCAAATTAATTATTTTGCACATTCTTGACCTAGTGATATATACTTGACATTGAAACTTAATGTCAAAATGAGAACATTAATTAATTATGAATATGATGAAATATGAACAAAATACATGTGGGAAAA